CTGCTCTAGCTCCTGCTTTAGCTCCTGCTCTAGCTCCTGCTTTAGCTCCTGCTCTGGCTCCTGCTTTAGTCCTACTATAACTCCTACTTTAGCTCCTGCTCTAGCTACTGCTCTAGCTCCTGCTCTAGCTCCTGCTCTAGCTCCTGCTCTAGCTCCTGCTCTAGCTCCTGCTTTAGCTCCTGCTCTAGCTCCTGCTTTAGCTCCTGCTCTAGCTCCTGCTTTAGTCCTACTATAACTCCTACTTTAGCTCCTGCTCTAGCTACTGCTCTAGCTCCTGCTCTAGCTCCTGCTCTAGCTCCTGCTTTAGTCCTACTATAACTCCTGCTTTAGCTCCTGCTCTAGCTCCTGCTTTAGCTCCTGCTCTAGCTCCTGCTCTAGCTCCTGCTCTAGCTCCTGCTCTAGCTCCTGCTCTAGCTCCTGCTTTAGCTCCTGCTCTAGCTCCTGCTCTGGCTCCTGCTTTAGTCCTACTATAACTCCTGCTTTAGCTCCTGCTCTAGCTACTGCTCTAGCTCCTGCTCTAGCTCCTGCTCTAGCTCCTGCTTTAGCTCCTGCTCTAGCTCCTGCTTTAGCTCCTGCTCTGGCACCTGCTTTAGTCCTACTATAACTCCTGCTTTAGCTCCTGCTCTAGCTCCTGCTCTAGCTCCTGCTCTAGCTCCTGCTCTAGCTACTGCTCTAGCTCCTGCTCTGGCTCCTGCTCTGGCTCCTGCTTTAGTCCTACTATAACTCCTGCTCTAGCTCCTGCTCTAGCTCCTGCTCTAGCTCCTGCTTTAGTCCTACTATAACTCCTGCTTTAGCTCCTGCTCTAGCTCCTGCTTTAGCTCCTGCTCTAGCTCCTGCTCTAGCTCCTGCTCTAGCTCCTGCTCTAGCTCCTGCTCTAGCTCCTGCTTTAGCTCCTGCTCTAGCTCCTGCTCTGGCTCCTGCTTTAGTCCTACTATAACTCCTGCTTTAGCTCCTGCTCTAGCTACTGCTCTAGCTCCTGCTCTAGCTCCTGCTCTAGCTCCTGCTTTAGCTCCTGCTCTAGCTCCTGCTTTAGCTCCTGCTCTGGCTCCTGCTTTAGTCCTACTATAACTCCTGCTTTAGCTCCTGCTCTAGCTCCTGCTCTAGCTCCTGCTCTAGCTCCTGCTCTAGCTACTGCTCTAGCTCCTGCTCTGGCTCCTGCTCTGGCTCCTGCTTTAGTCCTACTATAACTCCTGCTCTAGCTCCTGCTCTAGCTCCTGCTCTAGCTCCTGCTTTAGCTCCTGTTCTAGCTCAGTTCTGGTTCCTTCTCTAGCTCCTGCTCTAGCTCAGTGCTGGTTCCTTCTCTAGCTCCTGCTCTAGCTCCTGCTCTAGCTCAGTGCTGGTTCCTTCTCTAGCTCCTGCTCTAGCTCAGTGCTGGTTCCTTCTCTAGCTCCTGCTCTAGCTCCTGCTCTAGCTCCTGCTCTAGCTCCTGCTTTAGCTCCTGCTCTAGCTCAGTGCTGGTTCCTTCTCTAGCTCCTGCTCTAGCTCAGTGCTGGTTCCTTCTCTAGCTTCTGCTCTAGCTCCTGCTCTAGCTCCTTATTTAGCTCCTGCTCTGGCTCCTGCTTTAGTCCTACTCTAACTCCTGCTTTAGCTCCTGCTCTAGCTCCTGCTCTAGCTCCTGCTCTAGCTCCTGCTTTAGCTCCTGCTCTAGCTCCTGCTCTAGCTCCTGCTCTAGATCCTGCTCTAGCTCCTGCTCGGGCTCCTGCTCTAGCTCCTGCTTTAGCTCCTGCTCTAGCTCCTGCTCTAGCTCATACTCTAGCTCTTGCTTTAGCTCCTGCTCTAGCTCCTGCTCTAGCTCCTGCTCTAGCTCCTGCTTTAGCTCCTGCTCTAGCTCAGTGCTGGTTCCTTCTCTAGCTCCTGCTCTAGCTCCTGCTCTAGCTCCTGCTTTAGCTCCTGCTCTAGCTCCTGCTCTAGCTCCTGCTCTAGCTCCTGCTTTAGCTCCTGCTTTAGCTCCTGCTCTAGCTCCTGCTCTAGCTCCTGCTCTAGCTCCTGCTTTAGCTCCTGCTCTAGCTCCTGCTCTAGCTCATACTCTAGCTCCTGCTTTAGCTCCTGCTCTAGCTTCTGCTCTGGCTCCTGCTTTAATCCAACTCTAGCTCCTGCTTTAGCTCCTACTCTAGCTCCTTATTTAGCTCCTGCTCTGGCTCCTGCTTTAGCTCCTGCTCTAGCTCCTGCTTTAGCTCCTGCTCCAGCTCCTGCTCTAGCTCATACTCTAGCTCCTGCATTAGCTCCTACTCTAGCTCCTGCTTTAGCTCCTTCTACGCCCCATTCACACCATGCCCTTTAACCACCACCAGTGCTTGACTCCTGATGATCTCCCCTTTTCAAGTGTCACTGTCGGAGTCAAAGCGCCAATCCATAAATCTTTCTAAAATCGAACGACTGACGACTGCAGTTGTGTAGAATTGAATGGAAATGCCGTATTTGTGGAGAATCAAACATTATCTCTCGTCCACTTCAGACCATTTCAAACACCAAACGGCGAGTAGAAAGTTCTCACGGAATAAGAACGACCGAGACTCCATTTGCAATATTCTTTTCATTCAAAGGGAAAGAATGGGGAGTGGTCTGTCGAGTGGTTTCTCAACAAACACAGAGAGAAAACTGCATGTTCCTGCGATGACTGGCGACCGTGTGATGTGTGGAGCTCGGGTTTGGCGAGGGAGCAGCCGTATTTCATGCTGCTCTGGAGGGCGGGCTCCGGTATACCGCATTTTTAAGATTTGTAATAAACCAGAGACAATAGGATGGCTCAAAACACACAAATCAAAACTGTCGTCTGAGTTTTACGGCGACTATATCATTGGCAGGTTGTTTTCTTTGTGAGAGAGACGCATTAGATTTATTGTCGAAATATGAAAACCACATCTTGTTCTGGATCTCGGTGTAAACTGGAGGTTGCTTCAGAGGGTAATGTGAGCGCGAGTTTGTTTGTAGGACGGGAACTAGTCTGAGTCAAGGCCCGGGTGTCTCCAAGATGTCGGGCCGTTCAGATCCATGGTCTGTGCACCGGGGACGTACCAAATATTAGCAGAAGGGATGTGTGCTGGTCATTATAGACCAGAGAGAGACAAGGGAGAGAGACCAGAGAGAGACCAGAGAGACCAGAGAGAGAGACAAGAGAGAGACCAGAGAGAGAGACAAGAGAGAGACCAGAGAGGGACCAGAGAGAGAGACCAGAGAGGGACCAGAGAGAGAGACAAGAGAGAGAGACAAGAGAGAGACCATAGAGAGAGACCAGAGAGGGACCAGAGAGAGAGACCAGAGAGAGACCAGAGAGAGAGACAAGAGAGAGACCAGAGAGAGAGACAAGAGAGAGACCAGAGAGGGACCAGAGAGAGAGACCAGAGAGAGAGACAAGAGAGAGAGACCAGAGAGAGACCATAGAGAGAGAAACCAGAGAGGGACCAAAGAGCAACCGGTGAGAGAAAGAGACACTAGATGGAGACCAGACAAACACCAGAGAGAGACCAGCGAGAGAAAGAGACACGAGAGAGACCATAAAGAGAGAAAGAGCGAGAAAAAGAGACACTGGAGAGACCAGAGAGAAAGCAAGAGAGAGACCAGAGAGATACTTGTGAACGAGCCGAGTTTTTTGTAGTGTAGATTTATAGGAAACTGATGGATTTCAAAATTCTCACACAATTGGACCTCTGTGAAAGGGTCACACACACACACACACACACACACACACACACACACACCCACGCTAATACACACACACACACACACACACACACGCTAACACACACACACTAACACACACACACATTAACACACACAAACAGCTGAGGCGCAAAACTAACCCTGCTCATTTCCCTCAGTGCACCATCCCCAATTTCAAACATAAAGGGGGGGGAGTATCACGCTGTGCATACACAACACCACGACAGAGAACTCCAGACGTCTCCATGGTAACGCAGAGTTTGGACACCCATGGTCTATTACAGGGAAAGCTCTGCCTGCACTACCATCATCTCCTGACTTTCTCTGTCTTTACAAAACAAAATCCAATCAAAATGGACACTTTTTTGTGACATAACAACACCCTCCACAAATCAGACTTAAAGAAATGTAAAGTATCACCACAGAGCAAAACAAAAACTTAATTTCAAAGCCTCAAATATGACCAGAAGTGACACTTTCTGACCAGCTCTGGTTCTCCTGGTTTTACTTCTGCAGGACCAGAGAAACATGTGTGTTCTGACCAATCAGCAAACTGCAGAGAGACCAGAGAGAGACCAGAGAGAGAGGGAGAGAGAGAGACCAGCGAGAGACCAGTGAGAGACAAGAGAGGGAGGGAGAGAGAGAGAGACCAGTGAGAGACCAGAGAGAGACAAGAGAGGGAGGGAGAGAGAGAGGCCAGAGGGACCAGAGAGAAAGAGAGACTAGAGAGAGACCAGAGAGACCAGAGAGAGACCAGCGAGAGACCAGTGAGAGACCAGTGAGAGACCAGTGAGAGACCAAAGAGAGACGAGAGGGAGACCAGAGAGAAAGAGAGACCAGAGAGAGAGAGAGATTCCAGAGAGATCAGACAGAGAGACCAGAGAGAAAGAGTGAGAGGCCATTGAAAGAAAGAGGGAGAGACCAGAGAGAGAGCTAGAGAGCGAGACCAGAGAGAAATAGAGATAGAGACCATAGAGAAAGAGAGAGAGACCAGAGAGAGAAAGAGTGAGAGACCATTGAAAGGAAGAGGGAGAGACCAGAGAGAAATAGAGACAGAGACCATAGAGAGAGAGAGCGAGACCAGAGAGAGATCGAGACCAGGGAGAGATAGAGGGAGAGCAAGAAAGAGAGAGACCATAGAGAAAGAGAGAGAGAGGGACCAGAGGGAGACCAGAGAGAAAGAGAGAGAGACTAGAGAGGGACCAGAGGGAGACCAGAGAGAAAGATTGAGAGACCGAGAGACCAAAGAGACCAGCTTTAGAGAGAGAGAGACCACAGAGAGACACACCAAAGAGAGAGAGAGAGAGAGAGAGAGAGAGACCCCAAGCAGGCCACTCTCATCAGGATCCAGACTGACCTACTCGCAGCTCTTGTCCGAACACCGTCCTCTCTCCCAGCGCGGAGCAGTTCCAGCGTCCGTAGCGAAACTGGTACTGGCACTCGTTGATGCCCATCTGAGCGCCCTCGCCGACCACGATGATGGCGTCCGGCCGGCTCTGGCAGATGGCCCGCTGCCGAGGGGCCAGGCCGGGGATCTTGTTACAGATGATGTTTGCCCCCAGCGCGACCACGGACGACAGGGCCCTGCGAGGGAGAGGACACAGAGTCACAGTCTGCCTGAAAATGTGACACAATAATTTTGCTTTGTCCCATTGGCATTTTTTGACTTTTACAGTGTAAGTAATCATTAATAATAATAATAATAATAATAATAATGTTTTTTTATGAATAGGTCTGATATACACCTCCTGTTTGACGACCTCGCTCCCTTCTCTGTGTGAGAGACAAACGGCCACAACAATTGTAAAGAGCTTTGTCAAATGCGCTACATAAATAAAGATGACTTACTTCACTGCAAAAAAATATACCATATAAATGTCCAGAAAGAGACCAAAAAGTGATTAAAAATGTGTCAAAAATTGCTCAAATCTGGCAAAATTAGAATGTAAGAATGTGCTCAGATTAAGATAAAAACTAACTCGACACAAGCATTTATTATCTAATATTTTGTCATTTGTTGCAGTGTTTTGCAAGTTTATTGGTATGTGAGAAAGAGAGTGAAAGACCAGAGAGAAAGAGAGACCAGAGAGAGAGTGAGAGACGAGAGAGAGAAAGAGTCAGAGACCAGAGAGAAAGAGAGACCAGCAACAGAGAGTGAGAGACCAGAAAGACAAAGAGTGAGAGACCAGAGAGAGAAAGAGTGAGAGAGAAACCAGAGAGAAAGAGAGACCAGAAATAGAGAGAGACAGTACATTAATAACAACAGCTGAACACTGTCAGAGAAGAAGCCTGTCTCACATTTTCAAGAAGACTGCTCCATATTTTTAGCCCTGTATGAATCTAAAACTTTGCCTCCCCCATGTTTGACTCTGACTCTTTGAAAAAAAGTGAAAACAAAATCCTTCAGTAGCTGCAGCTAAACCCATTCATAAATGATTATTATTATTATTATTAATATTAATGATTATTTACACTGCAAAAATCGCTATGGGACAAAGCAAAATTACAGATACAAGACATGTCTCTCTTGGAATGTCTTGTAGAATACAATTTATTCTTGTATTACCCTAAATCACAACAGGAATTTACAAAACTGTCGATTCTCCAACACAGATCAGAGAATCAGACAGTTCAAACACATTGGTTCATGAGGAGCAGAAACCGACATCCATAAAAGTCATTGAATGTCCTGGTTTCACAAAATCTGCGGCTGCGATTGTTTCAGGTTTATGCTGCAAGTTTCTAGAACAGTCTTCCTGAAAATGTGAGACAGGTTTCTTCTCTGTCAAAGCTCAATCCAGGTTAAAAACAGTTAACAGCAACAACTCTTCTTATTGTACTGTGATTATTTACTATTTGAATCCCTTGTGTGACCGTTTCTATCTTGTCTTGAGTTGCCTTGAGTATGAACTGTGCTATACCAATAACCTTGCCTTACCGATGCTGGTGAATCATGAAGACTCAGGCAGAAATTAGTTGAAATTAAAAGGTAAAATTGTGCTTGGAAAAAATCACAATGAACCAGTTTTGTATCATAACATTGAGACTATATCCATAAAATCTATAAAATCTCTCTTCCAGGACAAAAAGGAGCCATATGAGTGAGTCATATGTATCTATATAGCACGTTTCCACAACGTCACACAAACTGCTTCACTGTGTTTTAAACTGCAGAAATGTTTCTATTCTCTCAAAGACAAAGTGGAGACAGAAGCAAGACGCAAAAACTCTTTAAAACCTCTGACCATCGCCGTCGACTCTCTCTCTACATTCAGACCTGTGGCCCGTGCTTTTAGTGGAAGGGGAAACCGGAGCACCTGGAGGAATCCTACGTATACATGCGGAGAATGTGCAAACTCACATTAGTAGAACCCAGGACCTTCTTGCTGGTAAATACGAGTGCTGCTCCAGAACCGTCTGTACTTTTTCAATGCGGTAAAAAAAAATCAACAATTCAAACAAAAACTTGGATTTTATTTTAGTTTTTTTAGATGCATTCAAGTGTTACAGATTTTTTAGTATTAGTTTTATTTTCTCAGTTAGTTCAGGAGTCAACCACAGAGCGTATGAACAAGTGTGACATCCCTATAGACTTAGCCTTGATGCTAAAGAAGCTAATTTGAAAATAAGCTAGCTGGAGACAATTTCCTTTTACAGGCATTTGTTTCGGAAAAAATAGCTTTACAGGTAAAAGGGGCTTGTTGCTAAGACGGTTGCTAAGGCGGTTGCTAAGGCGAGCTGGAGTTTCCCCCGTGAATGAAAGCATCTGATTGGTCCATCCTTAAATGGCTTATATCTGGATTCACTAAGACAATATCCCAAAATAAACACCGGGATCATAGACAGAACTAAACCATGGATTGATCAGGATGTTTTACTTTTTAACGCAAGTCTATAGGAGCCATAGCGAGTTGGAGCAAAACTTAGTCCATGAGCACTTCCCTATTGAGCTTCTTTGAGCTAGCGAATTAGCAAATAAATCGAATATACAGCCAATTAATCAAAACAATAATTATCTCGGAGGACTTTACAAAATGATTCACCGACACAGATCAGAGATCAAACACACTCAGTCAGGAAATAGAACGATAAAGAACACATAGAGCCATTGGTCCTGAAGCAGCAGCGACCAATGTCCATAAATGTTGTTAGCATTGAGATACAGTGCCTTGTGAAAGTATTCGGCCCCCTTGAACCTTTCAACATTTCGCCACATTTCAGGCTTCAAACGTAAAGATATAACATTTTAATGTTTTGTCATGAATCAACAACAAGTGGGACACAATCGTGAAGTGGAACAAAATTTATTGAATAATTTAAACTTTTTTAACAAATAAAAAACTGAAAAGTGGGGCGTGCAATATTATTCGGCCCCTTTACTTTCAGTGCAGCAAACTCACTCCAGAAGTTCAGTGAGGATCTTTGAATGATCCAATGTTGTCCTAAATGACTGATGATGATAAATAGAATGCACATGTGTGTAATCAAGTCTCCGTATAAATGCACCTGCTCTTTGATAGTCTCAGGGTTCTGTTTAAAGCACAGAGAGAACCATGAAGACAAAGGAACACACCAGGCAGGTCCGAGATACTGTTGTGGAGACGTTTAAAGCCGGATTTGGATACAAAAAGATTTCCCAAGCTTTAAACATCAGGAGCACTGTGCAAGCAATTATATTGAAATGGAAGGAGTATCAGACCACTGCAAATCTACCAAGACCCGGCCGTCCCTCCAAACTTTCATCTCAAACAAGGAGAAGACTGATCAGAGATGCAGCCAAGAGGCCCATGATCACTCTGGATGAACTGCAGATAACTACAGCTGAGGTGGGAGAGTCTGTCCATAGGACAACAATCAGTCGTGCACTGCACAAATCTGGCCTTTATGGAAGAGTGGCAACAAGAATGCCATTTCTCAAAGATATCCATAAAAAGTCTTGTTTAAAGTTTGCCACAAGCCACCTGGGAGACACACCAAACATGTGGAAGAAGGTGCTCTGGTCAGATGAAACCAAAATCGAACTTTTTGGCCACAATGCAAAACGATATGTTTGGTGTAAAAGCAACACCGCTCATCACCCTGAACACACCATCCCCACTGTCAAACATGGTGGTGGCAGCATCATGCTTTGGGCCTGCTTTTCTTCAGCAGGGACAGGGAAGATGGCTAAAATTGATGGGAAGATGGATGGAACCAAATACAGGACCATTCTGGAAGAAAACCTGTTGGAGTCTGCAAAAGACCTGAGACTGGGACGGAGATTTATCTTCCAACAGGACAATGATCCAAAACATAAAGCCACATCTACAATGGAATGGTTCACAAATAGACGTATCCAGGTGTTAGAATGGCCAAGTCAAAGTCCAGACCTGAATCCAATCGAGAATCTGTGGAAAGAGCTGAAGACTGCTGTTCACAAACGCTCTCCATCCAACCTCACTGAGCTCGAGCTGTTTTGCAAGGAAGAATGGGCAAGAATTCCAGTCTCTCGATGTGCAAAACTGATAGAGACATACCCCAAGCGACTTGCAGCTGTAATTGCAGCAAAAGGTGGCGCTACAAAGTATTAGCGCAAAGGGGCCGAATATTAGTGCACACCCCACTTTTCAGTTTTTTATTTGTTAAAGATGTTTAAATTATCCAAGAAATGTTGTTGTTGATTCTTGACAAAAAAAAATATTTTTTATATCTTTATGTTTGAAGCTTGAAATGTGGCGAAATGTTGAAAGGTTCGAACAGTGCCTTGCGAATACTTTCGCAAGGCACTGTAGCGGGTTAGCACTGTCCATCATACACTGCAAAATAAAACTAAATATGAGGTAACATTCGCTTGAATCAAGTATTTTTCTCATTCCAACAGAGATATTTCTTGCATCTTTTTTAAAAAGATAAACGGGCTGAATGGAAGGTTCTGAGCAAGAAGGTTCTGAGTGAATCCCAGTCGGAACTCTCTCTGGTCTCTCTCTCTCTCTGGTCTCTCTGGTCTCTCTCTGGTCTCTCTCTGGTCTCTCTCTGGTCTCTCTCTGGTCTCTCTCTGGTCTCTCCCTGGGTTCTCTCTGGTCTCTTTCTAGTCTCTCTCTGGTCTCTCTCTGGGCTCTCTCTGGTCTCTTTCTAGTCTCTCTCTGGTCTCTCTCTGCATGGTCTCTTTCTAGTCTCTCTCTGGTCTCTCTCTGGGCTCTCTCTGGTCTCTTTCTAGTCTCTCTCTGGTCTCTCTCTGGTCTCTCTCTGGTCTCAGTATATACAGTGTCTTTCTGCAGCTCTCTCAATAGACCAAAAGTATTGCCCCGGACAGAGGTAGAGGTTGTGTTGCTCAGACCAAACAGACGACAACAGAACGGTCCTGGTGTTTTGCACACACAGTTCCTCGTGGGTTTGGAAGCGACTTCTTTGAGCGATGACTCGGTTTTTGCATTAATTATCGGTTGAGGCGCCAACGACTACATCCACTTGCTGCGGAGCGTGTGATGTCAAGCCACAACTTTTACTCCGAAACCAAACGTCACACAAAATATCATGAAGTTATGACCTGTTGGAGACATATTTCACCGTCGAAAAAGAGCGAGAGGATGAATTTCACCAGTGGG